TTTTACAATACAATGTTATTATCGAAGTTTACGAAAAAAGAATCTTTTACTGTAATACTTTGGTTTATGTTATCATTCAATCTACTTCAGTTAAATTCAATAAAAATAATAAAAATAACAAAGTGAAATTAGTCTTGTCTTTTATCTCAGAAACTAGTAACCAACCTAGGTGGTATAACATCTTCATATAAAAAAATATAAAATTTGAATACATGCCTTTATAATTCTGAAAAAATTTTTAAGGAGAAAATTGATTTTATCAAAAAAATTATTTAAAAAAAGATAAATTTAATTGAAAACTTTAAATCACACCAGTGGTGTCGTACACCATATCATGTGATCATATAACTTTAAACATGATCTCATATTATAATTGACAAGAAAACATGATTATCAAAATAAGAAATAAATGTATTTGCGCTATAACAAATAATACGTGCCATACTTAGTCATGTATAATGCAACATTTTTTTCTCACGTTTCTCCTTCAACTTTTCCTCCTAACTTCTCTTATAATAAAGTCTCTCCTGAGATACCACTAGATGAAGTGCTCGAAATAGAGCCATCTGATCAAGTGCCATTAGAGAAAATATGTGAAATAGAGCCATTTGACCAAAATAGTACCCATAACCTTAACTTAACTGAAAATTCAGAAAACATTTCTTTTAACGAGCTTAATGAAGGTGAACCACTTTATCCAGTAACAACAGAGATGTTTTTCAACGATTGAACAAAACTTGATGAGTATGTAGGTCCTAGAGATGTTGTTTTATTTAAAGAAAATTAAATTTTTTTTTTTAAATTAAGATGGCTTAAAAACTATGGGTTAGAGAAAGGCTTCGCCATTACAATTACTCATAGCGAAAAAGATAAAAAGGATAGCATAATCCAATGGCGTATTTACGCATGTACAAGAGGTCTAAAATATGTGCCAAGGAAGGAAGCGCATATAAAAGAGAGCTGTAATGCAGAACATAATATTGGTAATTGCCAATTTCATATTAATGCCTACTGTCAGAAGAATGACAATCTGGTTTATATCATGAAAGTTGAAAATTAGCATAATCACAAACTTGTTAATACCATTGTTGCTCTTGTGTCTAGTCTTCGAAAGTTTACTTCAGAAATGCAAGATGATGTTAGATTACTTGTAACATGTGATGTACGCTCTGGTACAATTGTTGAAGTGTTGCAACACAAAAATCTGGGAAAGTACATCTATGATTGTGACATTTATAACTTGGTTAATTCCATTCACTGCTAACAAAATTAAAGTAAAAGTGATGCTGGTTCGATATACCTAAATTTAATGAAATAACAGTAGGAAAATTCATCCTTTCACATCGATATGCAGTTTGAAGGTCAAGAAAATTGTCTTGTATAGCTTTGCTGGATACGCCCAAGTCAACAACAATTATAGATGTATTTTCACGATATTGTTCTTCTTGACACAACTGCAAAAACCAACCGTCATTCTATGATCCTATGTGTTGTAATTATTGTAGACAATCACAATCGTTCTTACTTTGTAACAACTGCCGTTTTATCAGATGAAATCAAAGATAGCTTTTCCTGGTTGTTCCAAAGTCTTTTAAATACAACTGGTGAACTAATGCTACACCTTCTTTATACTGACACCAATTTCGTGATGATTGCCTCGGTAAACAGTTTCTGGTCAACAACAAAATACCATTTTTGTATATTCCATATTCAGAAGAATCTTGAGAAGTATTTTATGGAAAAATACCATAGTGAAAAGTGGAAAAAATTTTTTGCAACATTTTGTCATACACGAAATAGCTATGTAGAGTCAATATTTGAAGAAAGATGGGTTACTTTAATTACTGAATATGCTGATGCCGCCAATTACCTGCAACGTTATCTATATCTATGTCGGGA